CCCCCCCAAAAAAAAAACAAAAAAAAACAACAACAACAGGGAATCTATCTCATCTCGTTGAATCCAAGTTCCACTGTATTTAGATCTACATCGCGGTCGATAAGGCGGGACTTTGGGGTTTGATGATAGGATTGAGCGGAGGCTGCACTGGTGAAACAACTTGTGACATCATTGTGTCCGGGGAATAGCAACTAGCTTAGTATTTTACTACTATTTATTCTTCGCGTGATCGCTTACAGTAACTTACTGTACCGAATACGGCTAGATTTAGACCAGACACGTTACATTTTGCCTCGCTCAGTTTCCCCTAGCGTTGAAGGCCAAGCCTTTTTCCCCGCTCCAAACATGAGATTCCTATACAAAAGTACAAAATATTATACCCCCACCCCTTTCCAATACTTAGTATGCAGAGGGAAGTCATAGTTGCTGAACTGTTTTCAATCTTTTCAACTTCTGAAGCTTGATTATATTTTTCAAGGTAAGCACCCCACTGCGCTTTTTTTTAAAAAGTCAACCGCTTTCACACAGAGGTGCAAGCTGACTTGTTTGACAGGGTGATCAGAGTGAGACGAAGAACCGAATAGAGACGACCCCCACACATTCCCCCAATGGGCACAAAATTGACAAAATTTCTCAGTTGAAATGGTATCATTGAACTGTAAACATGAAAACAAATCCCGAACGTATAGAGGCCATAGGTCTATTCAATAGAACTAACACATTATTTTATTTTCATTAGATTAAAAATAGTATCTTCTTAATCTTTCGACTAAATTCCTATGCTGCAGTGTATGAAAGCTTTGACGTCATATGCACAACACAGTGAGTGATCTTGATTACATTTTCATATGACTTCAGATCCTGTTAATTCAAATAGTGTTTGCCTAAGTTTAAATATAATATCTCATCAAATCAGGTTTCCGGCGAGCTTTTAAAATTATTTTGATACACTGACTCCGAAAATGAAATAAGTTTTGTTTTGTTTTTGCTGCAATTTAATTGTGTTAAAATTCTGCACACAAAGTTAGACCCCGCGCGGCAGCAAACTTCAACTTCAAAGGGATTCTGCGGCCCAGATCTGACTTGAATCGAAGGCATAAAATATTGAGTCTCGATACCAAGACCTATAACATCAAGACGAGTCGCCGTTCCCCAGTCCCCAGATGAGCTTTTTGCCCACTGTGTTTTTTGTTTTTTAATATACAGTCGCTGGTCGTCCGAGAATGGATTACACGTATCGCGGTAAACTGTCAAGCCGGTTGGCAATAAGTTGACACTAAACTCTAGATCTATACTATTACAAACATTAATCTTGTAGGCTAGAGCATATTCTACGTTTTAGCGAAGTGCGCGCCAACCTCAACCTTTTCTCTATTTTTACTGTAATATCTGGAAAAACTTTCTTTAACAAAAATACTGATGGCTCAAGCAAACACATTTTGACCTCGCACCGGGACTCGACCAATGAAACAAATTTTAATGTCCAAATTCCGCCATGCATGGCTGCAGACGACTTTACGGTGTGGTTAAAAAAAAGAAGTTTAGGAGGCAGATTGTGATAGAAGCACCAAGTTCGCGAGTGACAGCATGCGCAGTTAGTCTCAAGCACAGGGGACTCAAACCCAAGACACATTAAGACTTAATGTGTCTTGGCTCAAACTACTCATAGTGTGTGTCTAATTAAAAATACTATTCCATCGCCAAAACCATGCACAATCGGCCAATTCAAATACATGTATTCAGTATCCTTTATAGTTAAACTCAGTTAACTAAAAACTTCGCGCCTCGCTCAATATATTAATATAGGGCCTAACCCCTGTGTATCCCCTCTCTCCGTAATAATAAAATGAAGAGAAACAACTGTCAAAATAACAATTGAAATTATTGACTAATAGTATTCATCACCATACAAAGAAAATAGTAGTTTTCTGATCTAGGTTTGACGTTCATTGAAAGGGTGAACCATCACAGAAATCAAGAGGCAACAAAAACTGACAAGGGCCGCAATGGTGTGGGCTAGGATTTACATTTACAGACAAAATGAGGTGGGTGAGTGAAACGGCTATAAAAAAAAAACCCAGCAACCCAATTTTTTTTTTTAAATTTAAAAACATTGTAACCTTATTCGCAAAGAATACCTTTAAATATATTTTGGTAGTAACTTGTCACTACAAATTGACTTCCCATTACTACAAATACTACAATGAGGAGGTTAATTCCGTTTATGGCTATGTCAAATTCAAACAAGATGCTCAATTGATAAAATCATTACTAAAAACCTCCCAAAATATGAGAACAAGACAAACGAAAAACAGATGAGATCTTCAGATAGTGGCAAATAATTAAAAAGAAGCTAAAAACTACTTCCATTATTGTTGAAGCAAACACATTATAAAGATTTAAACAAACAAAAAAATCAGATTCTTTTTCGAGTCACAATATAAATTAAATCAGTATCAACTAAATATAATACCAAAAAAAATAAAAACGACTTACTCTCTTTTTCGCAGTCCTTTGAGATCACTGGTTTTGTATGTGAAATGCCCGAACTCAAATCTTCTCCCTTTTCACTTAACTCTGCGCTGATGACTTCCATGTCTTCCTCTTGAGCAATAACAGTGACGGGTTCTTTCGCAGCCTGTCCCTTTAATTCAGAATGCATTGCTTCTGACACAGAGTTTTGTTGCTCACTAGAAATTTTGTTGCTGGCATTTGCTAAACTCTTTTTTTCACCATCAACTAGACATGAGGGCACCTCAGGAACAAGTACAGTGGACTCAGCAGAAAGATGTTCCTCAGTGGAATCAGCGACTTTCTCTCCTGCTGTAGAAACAGAATCCTGAGTGAGAACATTGCTTTCTTCTTCATGAGCACTAGGTTGAATAGATGCTGATGAAATATCATGGTCTTTTTCAGAGGTCACATTTGTAATAGTACCTGGTGCTGTAGACACATCCTCAATGGTACACAATGGCCTCTCCTGTTCTGTGCTGTTAACCGGCTTCTCTGTTAATTCTCCCTTCATGAGGTCAACACAAGCATGAGACTTTTCCTCAGAGTGAAAAATCTCTGATTCATCATCTTGACCAGTTATAAGATCTTGACCTGCTTGTTCTGTATCTTTACAACTCGATTCTTCAGGAGTTTCAATCAAACTAATGCATTGAGTATCATCATTTTGACCAGTTATATGATCTTGACTTGCTTGCTCTGCACCATTGCAACTTGATTTTTCAGGGGGTACAATCAAACTAATGCATTGTAGATCACCATTTTGACCAGTTATAAGATCTTGACTTGCTTGTCCTGTATCCTTACAACTCGATTCTTCAGGAGTTTCAATCAAACTAATGCATTGAGGATCATCATTTTGACCAGTTATACGATCTTGACTTGCTTGCTCAGCATTCTTACAACTTGACTTTTCAAGGGGTACAATCAAACTAATGCATTGTAGATCATCATTTTGAACAGTTATAAGATCATGACTTGCTTGTTCTGTATCCTTACAAGTTGATTCTTCAGGAGGTGCAACCAAACTAATGCATTGCAGATCATTTTGGTTATCTCCATTTACTTCGACTGTGGTCCCAGTACCTGTTGCAGAGTTTGACAGGACATCATCGCCCAGATGACTAGAAGCAACTTCTGGCATCACATCTGCCATTTCAGAATGAAAGAATCACGTACTGCTTTGACAACCTTGGAGTTATATTTGAAGGTGGCTGTGGAGAAGGAAAAATATAACATTGTATTAATTTTTTTAAACCACTTGTAAGCAAAACAAATTGTTTCGTCAAGAGGGAACATAAATTACAAAAGGCCTCCTGTAGCATAGTATTCTCTACCTTCCAGTTCGAATCGAGAGTTTAAAATATTTTTTTAAAATACTGACAGATCTTGAATTTATTTATTTTTCTTTCTTTAATAATTAGCGCTAGCAGTAGCTGTGCAGACGGTATTATGAACACATTCACTGTATTTTTTTTTCTAATCGTAAACTTAAATTTCCACACATGCTGATTACATGAGGCCTAACGGACAAGGAAATATTAGTGCAAATTTAAGGTATTTGTGAGGTAAATTTCTGAAAATAAAATGATAAAAATGACAACCAATGCCAAGAACTTTAAAAAAAACTGAAATTGGGTGAATTTGACAACTTTGCTTTAAAAACGATGCTGTTTTATTACAAGTATTTATTATAAAAGTGACAAAACAAAACATGGGGGCGAAGGGAATTTGGAAATCTTCAAATTTAATATAAACAGACCTAGGTAGGTCTGTACAACCTTCCTCCGTTTCTCTGCTTTTAAATTTGTAACCGGAACACCCCTTTTTATGCAACATCAATATTTGATCTTTAAATTTTGTTTATGGTTGATAATGCTACATTGCAATCACATATATTCCTAAAAAACCCACTAACCTTGAATGGATTTAGAGAGAAAAATAAATCAACTATGAGATGTGAACATGAGGCTTTGGAAGTTGGGGAGGAAACAGACATGGCTAGTATATAATTAGTAGATCCCTGGTGTATGGTTGTAACAGCAAAGCAATCGCTGCGTTAAGTTTGTTTTCTGTTGTTTTTTTTGTTTTTTTGCATGTCATGATGATGGCTTGTCCAATAATGCAACAAGCCATTATCATTCAACACCAAAATCACAGACCTAAAACTTAAGGTGACCCTTTCAAGAAAAATAGTTCATGGTACAAAAGCCCGCTGTGCTTTCAAGGTTGATTCCTCAAATAACATTTTAAAAATCCAGAAAAAGCTAATTATTAATTAACAAAAGCAAGGCAGAATTTACAAATTACTTGTGTAGGCGTAAGTATAAACTATGTTGTAAAACCAGTAAGCGCTTTTTGAATTATTATTTACTCTTTATGGTTGAATTTAATTTCAGTGTAGATATCTAGACTTTTCAGTCCGCACGAATACACAAGTATCAATTAAATCTGCAACTGCAGCTAGTTGACTGTTGGGTCCGTTTTGGAGACTGTACGTAGTGATAGGATAAAAAAAACCCATGTCATTCAAAATTAAAATATGATCATCCTTTATAATTCCCCTTAGATACTACTAGATCTAGATCTAAATAAAATGGGTCTAGATCTAGATCTTAAATTAGTTATTAGTAATACTGTTCTCTTTTGTCAGACTACTATCATATTTTAATATATATTAGACCTTCAACCATTAATTCAAAACTGGGAGAACTCTGCGCACTGTTGAAATACTAGATTCTAGATCTAGATCTAGATCTAGTAAAATAGTCCAGAGCCAAATATCACATTATTTTGATTGCTGGATCTAGATCCAGATCGATATATATATATATATATATATATATATATATATATATATATATATATATATATATATATATATATATATATATAGAGAGAGAGAGAGAGAGAGAGAGAGAGAGAGAGAGAGAGAGAGAGATCTACATCCTACTCTAGGTGATAATATATATAGGTCTAATAAATGGGGGGGGGGGGGGGGGGAGAAGATAGCCTTTAATAGGCTTTAATTAGGCCCAATCGATGAGCTTACTAATAATCTAAAAAATAGATTTAGATCTAGAATCTAGATCTAGATCATTCGGAAAACGCCTTGGACACGAATCGAAATTGACTCTGAAATTGAGATTATAATTCTTGTACACATGATAGATCTATCTAGATATCTAGATCTAGAACGTTTCTGTTACATGCCTTCGGGATCACAACTTTGAACAATAAGTAAATCTAGTAGAGCCAATCTAGATTCTAGATCTCTAGATTACATCTGGATTCAAGATGGCCTCCAGGGGTGCATTTCTTTGACATTTTACGGTAATGCCAATAACGTCTCCTACTTGGTTTTATGAGAGTCGTGAGGCAAGCTGGAGAAGCTGCACTGGTAGGCTACCGTTACCAAGAGCTACCCATCCCAAGTAGGTCAGAAAAACAATTCCAATCAGCAAAGCCAACATTTGTTAAAAATAGGACAAGACTACCTACTTTCATGCTGAGTTGTTGAGATATTGTATAGAAACGCGGAAATTATAGATCTACATCTAGATCTAGATCTAGTTTCTGGCTAAAAATTACAACTCTTGAACAACAGCCTGAAAGTGAGTCCATATATCCATATAATATAATCTCCCCTCTGAGGTTCTGCCAGGGATAGGCTATGGGCATTTGTTTTAAATCTAAAGCGCTGTTTTCCTTTTCGAACTGCTAACAAGAAATAAAATAGGCCTAGATCTAGATTCTAGATCTAGTGAAATCCTTTATGTGTCCACCAGAAAAGACATCATAAAAACAGTCCTAAAGTAACACTAAAACGAAAGCAATGAAGGCAATTTAATGAAAACCACTGACATCAAAATGGATTCTTTTGATCCCCCTTCTTGAGTTAGGCCTAGTGGTAATACATTTATCAATTCAGTGAAGATGCAAAATAGAAATTTAAGACCCCCCCCCCCCCCCCTAAACAGAACAATTGAAATGTTTCAATCTAGATCTAGATCTAGCTGATTGCAACAGTAAAAACATAACAAATTAAATTTGCAAGCAATTTTCATAAACTAGATTCTAGATCTAGATATCTAATTTAAAGTAGTCTAACAAGATGGCACTTTTCCTTAAAAAAAAAAAGCAGACTTAGATCTAGACATGATTCATCAAAGTGTAATTTTTTTAAAAATTCTTAACAGCTTCAGAATTATCTTTAAAAAACCCAAAACAAATAGCAGACAGCGAACATTAAAAATAGCTGACTGAGAAAATTAAATATAAATAGAACGTCTATTATATTATATATATTCGAAAAAATAAAATTTGCAATTAATTTCCATGAATCTTACTGAAAGTGACACAATGGATTTACAAAATGAGCCTTCATGCATCATTATTAGTGAGTAATTACCAACTTCATATATTATATTGGATTGTAATATTGACTAAACAAAGCCTTGGATGTGTGATTTTAACTTAACTGACTGAATAAGAATAAAAATTGAAGAAAATGGGAAAAACAATTTTGTCTTTCAACCATATAAGGCTATCTCTATCTATAATAGGCTGTAGGAGGCCCTGTCTGTAAGTCTAGCTGATTGCAACAGTAAAAACATACCAAATTAAATTTGCAAGCAATTTTCATAAACTAATTGAAAGTACTCTAACAAGATGGCACTTTTCTTTAAAAAAAAAAGAAAAAAAAAAGCAGACTTAGATCTAGATCTAGATCTAGAGCTACATGATTCATCAAAGTGTAATTAAAAAAAAAATTCTTAACAGCTTCAGAATTATTTTTTTAAAAACCCAAAACAAATAGCAGACAACGAAGATTAAAAATAGCTGACTGAGAAAATTAAATATATATAGAACGTCTATAATATATATATTTGAAAAAATAAAATTTGCAATTAATTTCCATGAAACTTACTGAAAGTGACACTCTAGATCTAGAATCTAGATCTAAATCTACATGATTCATTAAAGTGTAATTTAAAAAAAAATTCTTTAACAGCTTCAGAATTATTAAAAAAAAAACCCCAAAACAAATAGTAGACAACGAAAATTAAAAATAGCTGATTGTGAAAATTAAATATATATAGAACATCTATAATATATATAGATCTATATATCTGAAAAAATAAAATTTGCAATTAATTTCCATGAAACTTACTGAAAGTGACACAATGGATTTACAAAATGAGCCTTCATGCATCAATATTAGTGAGTAATTAATTACCAACTTCATGGATTGTAATATTGACTAAACAAAGCCTTGGTGTGTGGTTTTAACTTAACTGACTGAATAAGAATAAAAACCGAAGAAAATGGGAATAATAAATTTTGTCTTACAACCATACAAGGCTATCTCTATCTATAATAGGCTATAGGAGGCCCTGTCTGTAAGTCAGAATAATATAGATCTAGAGGCCACTAAAACATTATTGTAATTCATTGCAGTAGTTGTACAACTCTGACATCATCAACTGTCTCAGGTAACAAACTAAAGAACGGAGAAAAAAAAGGATAATGAACACAATTATATTAACTTCTTTGTTTTATGTAAAACGCCATAGAATCTAGATTCTATTTTCATAGACCTACGATTGAGTCTCACACTGTGTGCAGTCGAATAAACATTGTTGTGTTGGCTTTCCTGGCTCACTCAGAAAACTAGATATCTAGATCTATACCCTTGTAAGAAGAAAAAGAATGATCTAGAAATATAAATCTAATGTCTTGCTTGAGTTTGAGTCTACATAAATTATAGTTATGTCAAGCAATACACTGAAATGAAGGGCATGTTTCCCTTCCGAAAGTCAATATCAAATATAATAAATTCTAAATAAGGTAAATTTTGACTTTTGCACCCACACATAGATGCATAAACTGCCACAATTTTTGCTGTAGAACACACGCATGGCCACTAAAACCCTTGCAAATCAATTGTTTTCAAGTAAATACCAATCCTAATAGCCAAAACATCAAATCATTGTGAAATTCAGGGGAGCATGCCCCCCTGAAACCCCCCAGATTCTTTTCAGGTCAGGGTGGCATGCCCCTCTGAAACCCCCCATTTATAGAACAGTTAAATATTTTCAAACACCAATAACTCAATAACTATTGATTTGCTGCAAAAATGAAGGCCATATTCGTGTTCAGCATGCAAAATACTACTGGAATAAAAGTATATCAAACGTGTACATGAGGCGGGTGTATTAGTAAAAAAAATAAAAAAATACCCTAAATAATTTTAATAATAATAAACTTGAAAATAGTAAGGTAAATTTATCATACCAACTATTTCAAAAGCAGATGTAGAATCTAGATCTAGATTCTAGATCTAAATATCCAAATCATATATTAATAGATCTAGATCTAGATCTATTCTACAAAAATTATACAGACAATAGGCCTAGATTTAAAATTTAATAGCCCACAAACTACCCCAACAGAACCTCAAATACTGCCAACGGCCGTACCACGTGACCTCAACGCGCGATTGAGATCACGCCTCGGGAAAAGTTTTAGGCCTTTGTTTACATTATTTTTCGAAATAAAAAGAACTTGTAGGTGTTTCAAAACGACAATACGTTACTGAGCATTGTTATCATATGTTTGTTGTTTTTATTGCCGTTAAATAGTAACATATTGCCTCCTTTTACCATCATGAAAACCATTATTTAGAACCAAAACGCCTTACATCCAGGTGTCTGCCATCTTGATTGAAGCAATCATTGCCATGCTGGCTGTCACGACACTTTGAGGTTCAACTCCCTCTCTTGCATCTCTCTGGGCTGTTTATAACCATTTCATGAGGTAAATAAAATCATACACCAATTGCAAACAGTTTCGTGTAAAACTAAATCATGAATACAAATGGGACGCAAATAGGCAATCAACGAACAAACTTACCCACCAGTTATGCATCGCAATCTCAATCAGCTGTGCCTATCATATTTTAACTGTGGCAGACGGATTGCGGCAAGGCTGTTTGCATTGCGCATGCGCGTTTGCCTTTCCTGGCATTTCTGTTTTGTCATTGGTTGAATCCTCCACCATGTTGAAGAAATCATGATTGTCGTACGCCTAGCCTTATCTCATGCCGCCTCTAGGCCTAGGCTCTAGCCTAGCCTAGCATGTGTAAACCCTTGACCTACCTTGGCCTAGTGTCTTTTGGAGAAAGTGACAAAAAGTAGTATGCCTACTTTTGTCCATGACATCAACAATATTCATTTTAAGCGTGCCAGACTAATGCTGTCTCATTGAAAATTTAGATCTAGGCTACTGTTTGGACAACAAGCAAATCAATATAATAATATATTATTTCCTTTCCCAAAAGGTTGTAGGGTAAAATTGATTGTAGTGAGTTTAGTTGTTTCATAGGCTATTATTGTGCATTCTGATTGTTGTTGTTTCTGTGCCACAGTACGCCATTCTCTGTGTTTGTGTGTGTGCGTGTGTTTCATGAGATTTAGTTTTCATTCTCGATTATCATATATGACTAAAAGAGTCATTTTTATTTTTCTTTCTCTTTCAAAGACCTGAAAATTGTTCGTCCAATCAGTTATTTGACACTGTGGGGAAAAAAAATCGGATAATTCCGATAATTTATTATTTGACATAGATCTAGATTTAGGCCTAGGCTATGAAAAAAAATGTCTCTTGAACAGGTTCTTGTCTCGCATTCGGTACCAGTAGTCGTTTTGATGCATATTTTTTATCGTGACTAACGAATAAAAAAATAGTATCGATACTGAGATTATTTTTTTCAATCACGTGACAAACCTCATCTCAAATAGCCGGTTAAAAGATTAGGCCTTTCAGGCGTAGGCTACCTTTATCTTATTCACTTTCGTCTTTCCGCGGTTAGAGTGGGATAAAAACAAATCGTAGGTCGACCTTTGCATGCGGATCTATCTATGTATTATGCTGGATGACCTACAGATTCTAAAAGCCAATTAAAATTAATTAGCTTCACTGCGAACTATATTCAGCAGGCGCGGTTCGTCCACAGAGCACGGTCGAGCGGTGCCGCACAAATTTTTTAAAATGTTCGATTACGTAAAAACACACTCAATAATAAAATAAAAGAAGCCAGAAACAAACACTAGTCAAATATTATTTCAAAACAAAGGTCCTCACTGGCGCCATTACTGCCATTTCTATGTCTATAGCGCCGTAAAACATCTACAGTGGAAACCTGATATAACAGGGATGGTGGGAGTAGAGAAAATGTCCTGTTATATCCGATCCCTGTTAAATCAGAAATGCAAGGAAAGTAAGCATGTGTGGACTAATCCAGCTGTACTTAAACATGGGTAGTTTCCTTTGCCAAAAGTACCCACGAACAGGGGTTTTGGCACCAACTTTCACCATTGCCTCACATCAGAAGAGCTTGGTCCACAGCATCTGCGTCGAGTAGTCTCATCTTCTTTCGATCCAGAGCAAACTTTCCATTGGAGTATGCTGCTACTATCTTCTCTCTATCCTTGGTAATGGTGTGAATCGATCCTTGTGGAATGTCGAACTGACGACAAATCTCTGCCAGTGGAGCTTGCTTTTTGTCAAGAGCCTGGATTATTTCGTATTTTTTGTCTATTGAAAGGCATTTTCTCGTGCGCTTGACATCGTTTTTGACACATTACGCGTGTGTGTTGCTAGGTTTCGGGCTAGATCGCGTCACACGCTGCGT